CTGGCATGAAGCCAGCATCCAAATAAATATTTACTCATATTGTTGCTTTCCTTGAAACGCCCAATGAACTAGATTGTAATCTACCTTTAATAGCAATCCCTGGCCTAGAATGCACGGAAACTGACTGCTGTCTTGGATTGGGGCCCATCCCCCATACACGTGCCCAAAGCCTTCTGTCTGCACCCTGCATTCCATACCGGAGTTTTCGTCTTTTGACTTAAGACTTGTTCTCCTTTCAAGCACAAATACCACATAAAGTCTTATCAATCATTTATAATGCCCTCATTGAAGTAGTCCAAGACAACCCCAGCTGGAAATAATAATAAGTCATATTTGTACGGCTCTTTACAGTTTACAAAGCACCCTCACATACACTCTGCCTTGATCCTCACCACAGTGCTCAGGGTTCAGGGCTGACAGGTTACGAGCCGTGTGTAACCCTGACACTCACAGAATTTAGGCACCCAAGCTCCCTGGAGGGAACACCACAGAAACCTGGACTCATTGTCCAATTCTGTGGCTCCTGGGCACAAGTTCCACGGGCTCTGTCTACTTCTAGAACATCTGAAACTCAAGCAGCACTGTGGCATTCAAGAAACAAGCTGTAGAGAGATCATGCCTCGCTCTGTCACTGGATGATTCATCCTGGGAAAGCCTACAACTTGTGTGCACTTTAATTTTCCCACCTAGGAAGCAGAGTGGATAGCACGGTTGGGAGATCAAATGTGACTCGATGTTCACAGTTAATGGCTAATCAAGGATGACCATCATTGCTAACATTACCGTGTAATTATAAACCGTGACAGTGGAAAACCTGGAGTAGCTCCTTGTTCTGCAACAAGCTTTTAAATGAAGATCACAGGGTATTGAACAGTCAGTAGAAGGAAATACTGATGGTGAATAGATGCCAGGAAACTGAAAGGAGACTTCAAAACAATGCACAAGACTGGCCTTACTGGGCTCATCCAAAGAGATGGGTGAGTGGAAAAGGGGTAGACATGGGGCAAGCTTTGACTTCTTCTTCCAGAAGGTTCTTCAAGAGACTGACAGCTGACTGGCAGGCCAATATCTGACAGGTTGTCTAAATAGGGATTTCTGTAGATTCAGAATTAGCATGTGGGGAGTGGAAGTATGGCTCAAGTGGTAGAGCACCAGCCCTGAATAAAAAAGCTGAGAGTTGAGAGTCCCTGAGTTCGAGCCTCAGTACTGGTAGATTCCTCAGCCATCGCCCTTCCTTCAACCCCATCTTGCCTGCAGTGAGCACCAGAAAGGGACTTCCTCGGCAGGACCACTGCCCAGTGGCCCTGTCCCCCCAAGTCCCACTGTTACTTCTGCCTCTTGCTCAGGGCAACCTGATGTAGACATCCTAGGAGGAGTTCACCCAAACTTCCCTGCTTCCTTTCACCCCGCCCCCCCCCCCCCACCTCCACCCAAGTAGCAGGAAAGAAGACGAGAGCTGAATACTAAAAAGCTCTAAGGTTGCAGGACTCTTCTCCCAGTCCCGAGCCCCAGAACTTCAAAGTGAAAGGAAGCAGTGTGTCAGCTCTGCCTGGGGGTGGGGACCCCTCGAAGCTGCTAACAATCCTGTGCCTGGCTCGTCCAGGTGTTCATAGCCACACACCCCCCTTACACACACCAGGTGTCCAAGGCTGGTCCTCCCCCCACTCCTCTCTCTCCAGCCCAGGCTTTCATGTGGATCAAGGCCCAGAAGATGACAAGCCTCCTGATGGATAGATACATGGAGACTTCGCTGGTGATTTATTGGCTTTCTGCACCTGACGAGAACTGCTAGGCCTATCTGAGGAGGGAAATGTATGTGCTCTCCTGACTCCAAGTGGCAGCCCTGAGTGAGCACACGAAGTCAAGCTGGGCCCAGGAAAGCAGAGCCGAGCACCAGCCTGTGTTTTCTAAGTGAGTCCAGGTCATAAAAGTGTCAGCACACGATATATTTTGTGCAAGGGATCCTCTGTGGGCCCTGGCTAGCACCGTCCCTCCCCGTCTGACAGCCAAGCCCTGGCTGATGTTGGCAGTGCCCCGAGGTTGAATCTCCTCCCTATCTCCCTTCCAGGGATGGTGCCTGACTGTCTTGTCCATCCTAGAGTCTTTCTGGTCACACCTGATCCTGGGCACGGGGTAACACAACAGGGATAACTGCTCAGATCCTGGGACCAGGCAGCCTGAATGGCAAGTCATATTCGATGGGGTAGATGAGAGAATTTTTTTTGTGTGCATGTGTGCCAGAAATGGAAATGGAACTCAGGGCCTGGGTGCTGTCTTGAGCTTTGTTGCTCAAGGCTGGGGCTCTATCACTTGAGCCACATCTCCATATCCAGCTTTCTGATGGTTAATTGGAGCTAAGAGTCATATGAACTTTTCTGCCTGGGCTGGCCTCTTGAGTAGCTAGGATTACAAGCATGAACCACTGGCATCTTGAGTTACTTCATCCTCCTGTGAACCTGGAATGCCAACAGAACACAATGAATGTGGTGATGGTGGCAGATTTAGGGGCAGATGTTTCAGCCCTGTCTAGAAAGAGGCAGTTACTGGGAAGCCACTAGGAAACAGGGCAGGAAGCATATGGACTAGACCATGGAAAATGAGCAGGATAGTGTTGGAGATGAAGCTGGAGTCTGAAGTCTAAATTGTGCCATGGCAAAGAATTAAAGGTCTCCTGTAGAAGGTGCTTGTCCAAGAGTGAAGTGGTTGTTCTAGGAGCAGGCTTCTGTATATACGTAGCAGGAACTCTGGAGACAAGCAGGAGATTTACTTCCTCTTATGTCTGTCTACAAGTAGGTTTCCAGATCATCTAGAAGAATTTATTGTGGTCTAGGCTCATGATCCCAGCTTAGAGCTAGAGCTAACACGATTGAGACGATGGGTAGCGTTGACGTGGGATGCATGACGGGTACCACCTGCAACTCCAGGACCACCTGCTCTGACACAATTGTGTGCGTGAGGGAGAAGGGATGCTGAGCATGGAAAACATGACCAGGACAGGCACGTGGGGGACCCCTCGTACCTTTCCTCCAGCTGAACCTCCATGTCAGATTCTAATCTGCACAGAATCAGGGTTCAACACCATCAGCAAGGGACAAGGCCCAAGTCTCTCAGACACACTCTGGTCTGATAACCTTTTACCTATAAGGTCTCAGCATTCTCACACATTTGGGTATGAGGAAGACAGGGGCAAAAGGAAGACCTGGAGGAGGTAGGAAGGGCACTGAAAAGAGAGAGTGAACCACACTTATAAACCAAGTTGGTGTAAAAGGTTCTTGCTTCTGACCGGATCCACTGGTTTTATCGTGAATTGTTTCAATGTCAGAGTTGAGTACTAGTACTAAGGCCACAACACTTAAGAGACATTTGCTGCTCTCCTGGAAATTCCATTCTGCCACAACATTGGGAAATGGGATCGCTTTCCATTTTGTTTGCAACCATTTTACACATCTAACTAGACAAAGCACTTCACTTGGCTTTCATCTGCCTTTCTTTTTCTCTCACCGTCAGTCATGGTCTTGGCAAAGATCTTCTATGGGTGTGTTCTCTCCTATTGGAGCCAAATGAAGAGACTGAGGGATTCACCCAGGGCCAGCTGACTGGCGCTCCTAGCACAAGGGAGCACAAGGCTTCTCCCTACCAACAACAGCCTAGCAACTTCATGGAGTAGAACGCTGTGGACGTGGCCTGTCTTGTGAGACTAACAGAATCAAAGGCACCTTCTACAAGAAACTCAACATCTCTGAGCTTTGTGCTTCACCCATTTACCTACTCAAAAGTCTGAAAGCACCATCCAAATAGCTACCTTCTTACCTAAATGATAATATGGAATGTATATTGCCTAATGTTTCTTTCCCTAGGATATTTTTTATATTGTTGCAATAGCCTAAACATTTGTTTTAAAAGGCCTATATCTGGGGGGGAGGGGCAGAAATCAACAAAGAAATACATGAACACTTGTAAACTTTATAATAAGTGAGCAGATTTGTATGGGTTTCACTGACAGCTGCTAAGAGTCCAAGTCTGGCATTGCATTCAGTCACTGAGTCAAAAAGATGGACATATACTGCTGCTCCTTGCTTTCCACAAAACACTATGGAGATAAGGTTTCAAGACATTCATCCTTCTTTGCTCTCTGTCATAGACATTTAGTATTTTAGACACTTTACACCAGGGGGTAGGAATCACAAAGATTAAAAATATTGCAAACAAAAGCGCTTTCTAATGAGAAGGCCAGTTTGTGGTTTGGATCTTGAGGCCGAAATCTGAGATGACTTCCTATTTGACCATAGATTCTCGACTTGGAAATGGGGGAAACCTTTTGTAGCAGGGCAATTTTTTAAAAACTGAAATCATTTATCTGGATGGCAGAAATAAATTGGAGGTGAGCACGATTCTGGCATTCGAGGTGGAAACAGATACAATAGAACAAAGGTAACAAACAATTGGAAATCACTGAGCAGAGCAGGGGCAGTACTTTTTCTACAAAAACAAATTGTGAATCATTTAGCAGTTGTTAGCAATGCAGCCTGTGTTTCAACTGCTTCATCCTATCTCTAAGCACACCAGCGGCCACCACTCTCCAGCAAATGGATGTTCCAATAAAACTTTATTTACAAGAATAGGTGACAGACTCGATTTGGCTCCCAGGCTAGAGTTTGCTGACACCCCTTGTTCCCCTAAATCCTAAGCATTTTCACCTGGGTCTACGAGTAGTTCCAACGATCTATCCACCTGAGTCTCTGGCCAGCTCCCGGCAAGGGGTGGTAGAGGCCAAGGGTCAAAGGTCAACATAGTAAACCTGGGGCGCTGCACCTGGCCTTATGAGTGTCATGCTATTTCCTGGCTACTAAATAACTCCGGTGGACCATACTGGTCTGTAGGCATATGAGTTGGTGGTTTCTCTGTTGTGGTTTCTTTGGATCTCCGGGTTCATCATCAGGCTCAATGACAAAGCCACCTTCCGTCTGATTTGCCAAAGTCAGGAGTGGCTTTAGCAATAAAAGAGTGAGCAGGTTGTGCACACTCACACCTGTTTCCCGCAGCAGGAAATGCCCAGAGTGAGGGCATTTTTCCCGGAACAGAAGGGAAGACAGACCTCAGGCTTCCAGGTTGACCTTAACTTTCCCTGACCTAGAGGAGATTCGGGACACTGTCTCCACTGGGACTCTTCAGGACAGCAGTGTGGCGAGTGTGCGTCTGCATAGTGGCGACTGTGGGCCTCCTAGGCCGCGTTCCCCTGGCCTGGGCTCCCTGCCCACTGGGCAGTCCCCACACTATGGGCAGTGGGGCTGGTGCTCGAGGCTCACCTGGACAGCTGCTAGTTGCTGCAGGGCTGGGTAGAGAGGCTGGGAGACAGCCTGATGGATCATCTCATAAACGCAGCCCGCAGGAAGGAAAGAGAAAATGATGCCAGCAGAATGCACTTAGGAGAAATAGATACGTGCGGTGCGGGGAGAAATGCTTTGATATTAAAATGGCTTTTTTTGGGGGGGGGTAACTTAAAAAGGCATGAAAAATGATACCGACCACTCACTAATCAACATTCCTCTGCAAATGCAGCTTCAGCTCCTAACCAAAAACACATCCCCACTATTGTCTTGTCTGGGTCCAGATGCAAACATGATTAATTAAGTTTCAGATGAGGAGGAGCTGGGGGAGGGTCAGGACAATGGCTCTCTGAGGAGCTTTTTTTTGTTTCCAGGCCAGAGAGACTCTCCACGCGTAGGCACCTATTTCCCCCCCGGCAGCCATCGCATGCCACGAGTCCCAGATAGAGAGCATAGGGCAGCAGGCCAGCACAGGGAAAACACAGACCTCCATCTCCCCTAGCCATGGCCCAGCCCGGCCCTAGCCCGGCCCCAGCACACAGGGGGTCACTTGTTGGGAGGCCTGTGTGTCCTCCATACTGCTATCAAGTGTCCTGGGACCTCTAGCAAGCTGACTCCCTCCGTTTCACACTTGTGAAGGAAGGACTGGACTATTAGTTCTATAATAAAAGTCTCTCCCACTTCTGACTGGATGCCAATACCTGAGGTCCTGCCCACATCACAGGTGCCATGATAGAACCAACTCCTGGACCTGGATGGTTATGGTAGTCGGCCCTGAGCCACTTTGGGGGATGGTGGGCAGGGACATACCCCTCCGCATCCCATCAGGAGGCAGGGACCCCAAGCCCAATGCTGGCTCTGGCCCGCGGAATCCAGGGCGACGGATGAAGACCTGCCCGTGCAGTGGAGGCTCAGAAGATTGTTTATTACATAGTTAATATTTCGGTTTACACCATGGAGTGACAAATGAGTTTCGCCCACAGTTCTTTCGCCAAGTACAATGCCAAGAGCTTCGCATCAGATTTTCAAACTCCTGTGTGGGGTAGCACCAATGCAAAGGTTTAATGAGTTATTATTATTATTATTTGCCAGTCCTGGGGCTTGAACTCAGGGCCTGGGCATTGTTCCTGAGCTTCTTTTGCTCAAGGCTAGCACCCTACCATTTGAGCCACAGCACTACTTCTGGCTTTTTCTGTGTATGTGGTACTGAGGAATCGAACCAGGGCTTCATGCATGCTAGGTGAGCACTCTACAACTAAGCCACACTCCCGGCCCCAGATAGAAATTGTTCTTAGACCACTAGCTGTCCCCTCTCAAACACTGGAAAAACAAATTGCCTGGTTCAGGTTCTTTAATTCTTCTCCGTTCCAGAGGAGAGAATGACTTGTCCGCATGTGTGATTCTGTTGCTGAGAGTATCTATGAAATATGCAGCATCCTCTCCCTGAGCCAGAACTGCTTTAGAAATATCCTCTCCAATCCATCTTTGTGTTTTCAAGGGGGAGTTCATTCTGCCACCTCCCAGATGGAGTAACTGAGATCAGAGTCTGGAGGCCTCTGGCTTGGGGACCCAGAACCACATGGGTTGGCCGTGGAGCCAAAAATCATGTATTTCCTGCTTTCCCTGGACCCTGCCACCCTGGGCTGACCTTTCTGGGCAGTATCATACACAGGAACATGTGGAAATGGGCAGTTTAGATAGATTAAAACACGTGTCACTGTTATGAAATGCATCCTAAGAGTCGTTTGCTCCTTTGAATGTAGTGTGGGGTGAAGCTGATCTTCCATGGAGACTCGGGGGAGCCCCACTCCACGGACAGCGTCATTCCACTCACATCAAGGAAGACTGGACCCCTACAATGTGCAGGGACCTGAGAGGAGAAGCCCTTTCCCTTGGAGGAGCCCAGAGAAGGAAGGATGTGAAGGAGGGGAATCAGTCCTGCAGATGGGTGGGCTCCATGCTCCAGCTGGCCAATCGGGAAGCACCCTGTGGGGCCTCCTTGCCTCACCCGAGGGTGGCTTTCACTCCTCATTCTTCAGGGGATTTGTCCTGGATGCTGGCACTTTGGCTCCTTCCGCCCAGGGGCCATCCCTCCGGAATCCCAACAATCTCCAACCTAATTCCCTCTGCGTCCCCCCCCCCCCCCCCCCCCGGCCCCCTCTGCCACCCAAGCTGTAGCCCAGAGCTGTGCAGCTACACCTCCAGGCCTGCGCCCTGGAAGGAACCGGCAGGCTGGCCTGAGCACTTGCCTCTCCCTGCAGAGAAAGGAGCCAAAAGCCAGGGCCCCTCTTTTGCTCATCTCCCTGACTCAAGATCCTCATAGCCCTGGAGGGGTCCCAGAGTCACTGTATCTCTCCCTCCACCCATGCCGGGGTCTGGACAGGCTCTGGGAGGCCCCTGCCCACTGTGTGCAGCAGGCCTTTCATGTCTCCAGCATTGGGTCTGCTCTGGGGATCAGTTGAGGATGTCATCCTCAGGCTGGCATGCTGAGAAGCAAGCAATGTGCTGACGACTTTTCTGTACCATCCTGAGCACTAGGCAACATGGTGGCACAGCAGGCACAGCGCCTGGGTTGTGGAAGAGAAAACAGATTTCCCAGAGCAGCCCGTGCAAACCCAGATCCCTCGGACCCTCGGTGATGACTGGCAAGGGGGCTCATGCTGCCCCACCCAGCTGCAGACTTCTGTGGACGAGGGTCAGATAAGAACGCTCATTTCAGGCCTAGGAAGATGGCCTAATGGTAGAGTGCTTGCCTCGCTTGCATGAAGCCCTGGGTTCGATTCCTTAGTACCACATACACAGAAAACGCTGGAAGTGGCGCTGTGGCTCAAGTGGTAGAGCTCTAGCCTTCAGCAAAAGCAGCTCAGGGTCAGCCCCCAGACCCTGAGTTCAAGCCCCACGACTGGCAAAAAAAAAAAAAAAAAAAGAACGCTCACCTCACCAACCTGCAGCTCACATCAGCATCTGCCAAAAAAGTTTTTTTTTAAGTATAGGTTTCCCAAGCCAAATCCATCACATATCCATTTTGTGGTTATTTCTGTTACTTAAACCCACTTATAAACTGCAACTCCTCTGTATGACATTTTTATAATAACAATAATAATTTTTAAAAATTAAAAAAAAATTAAGCCCCACACTTGGTTCTTAGACAGGCTTGCTGTTCTAAAAGAACAAATGCAAGATTCGGGCTTAGGACTGACCCCAGGACAGAGTGATACATCAGGACATGAATTGCAGGTCTACGCCAGAGGCCACACACCATGATGGCCGAGGTACCAAGTGATAGTGACTTCTGAATGTGTTTTTGGCCTTGTGATAAGAACCCACTGAGGGAGGGAGAACCATGGAAGGGTGACTCTGACCAAGCATGGAACACAACAATGGGCATGTTAACTAGTGACCTCTGCTTGTACAAGCATTTGAAGATTAAAGCAATTAAAAACATAAAATAATAGAACATAATCAGTACAAGTTCCTATCAAATGTAGCATTGCAGCTGGGTGCAGACGGCTCACACCTGTTATCTGGGCTGCTCAAGAGGCTGCGATCTAAGGATCACGGTTCAAAGTCAGCCCAGGGAGATAGGTTCCTGAGACTCTTATCTTCAATTAACCGCCAAAAAGCTGGATGTGTAGAAATGGCTCAAGTGGCAGAGTATTAGCCTTAAGCAAAACAGCTCTTGGATTGTACTCAGGCCCTGAGTTTAAGCCCCAGAACCAGCACCAAAATCCATAGTATTTCTCTCTCTCTCTCTCTCTCTCTCTCTCTCTTATTTACTCCCCCCCCCACACTGGTATTGGCATTTGAACTCAGTCTTGCACATGTTCAGTTTGCTTGTTCTGCTGGTGCTCTATCACTTGAATCATGTCCCCAGCCCTGCTTTTTGATGGTTATTTTGGAGATGCAGCCTCACAGACTTTTCTACCTGAGCTAGCCTTGAACCCTGGCAGGCTTATGTTGTTTTCTGTAAAACAGTTTATGAGGGCCCTTCAAATACACTGTTGGATGTGAGTGAGTGGTGTTACAAAACTGCTCTATTTCAAAATTTAGTAAATAATTCTGATAATGCATTAAAATATATACATAAAACACAGTATTTAACTTTTGTATTTAAGAGAAATATGAAAATATATTTCAAAACTGTATTATTAAAAATAGTAACCATCAAAATATCATTGAAAATGTCCCTAGAACAGGGCAACATCTACCTGATTGCTATTATGTCGGCATTTGTTCAGTAGAATAGTAACTTTTGGTCTCTGCTTACTAAACAAGGCTTCCCTGATCAACTAGAAAGATGAATTATAAAGAAAGATGAAAACAGATGATCAGTTCCTCCATTTTTTCTTTTTGGGGGTGCTGGGGTTTGAACTCGGGGCTTTGCACTTGCAAGGTTGATACCCTTACCACTTAAGCCATACCTTCAGGTCTGCTTTTTTGTTCTGTATCTTTGAAGATAAGCATCTACTGAACTTTTCTACTCTGACTGGCTTCAAGCTATGATTATTGGATCTCAGCCTCCTGAGTAGCCAAGATTACAGGTGTGAGCCACCAGCATCTGGCCCGAGACTGATCCCAAGTTCCTATATTTCTTTCCCTTAAAACTCAGCACAATCTATCAGACACAAGTTGAGTGTCAAACAGAGGCAAGGCAGCTGTACAGGATTTGCACATCATTCACAACGAGGACAGATCGCTGCTGTTTTCAAGAAACTCACCATTTCATACAGAGCAATGGAGATGAACTGAGTGGGTTTCTTTTTTAAAAAATGGAAGAAAAGATCTTTTTGGCCAAAATACATTTTGATATTGGCAGAAACTTACTCAGATTCTTTCTGAAGTAACTGCTTTGGTTGAAGATAGATTTAAAAGAGGGTAAAGGTATAGTAATTATTTGATGGATTTAATTCCATGATGGACAGAATGAAAACCTTTAGAGATTTTGATGTTTGCTTACCCTTCTGATGCATGATCCAGAAAACTCTCTAAATGGGGGAGTAGAGGATCAAGACACTCCTGGAGAAATAGAGGGTTTATATGGGTATTGGCCACTTTGGAATATCATAACAAATGCTGTATACTAGGTAACTACACAACAGAAGATGCTGCCTCATGGCGGGCATGAAGCCTGTCACCAGGGACCCTTTCAGACTTCACTTTTATTTCATTATATCCCAAAGGCTCCACCTTCAAATGCTACCACATTGGGGATGCCAAGTTCTCACATGACAGAGTTCAGTCCATAGAAGCCATCAGAGCTAAAGTCTCTAAGATTCTAGCAGGACTTCGAATAGCGAATCAAATCCCTTGTTTCTAATCTGAAATAACAAAATCTCAGCTCAAAAGGTACAAGATCACATAGGAATGAGGAACTGTGTGGACTCCACCAATGCCATCTCACACCAAGGCCAAAGCTGCTTCCCCGCAGTCCACCGATGCCTTCTTAGAACACACAAACTCCTCTCATGGATTACTGGACTTAGTACAAAGACCAACCAAACCCACAGGCAGCAATAGTGAGCTGGGTGTGGAACGGCTGAAGGACTTGTTTCCCACACATCTTTGCACACATCATCCACTTGTCCTCTGCCCTGTAGCTGCCTACAATCTACAGACTTCAGGAAGGGAGCAAAGGCATCAACTCTTTGACTTTAGAAAGCCCTTTCCAGGAAGAACACAGGACACACGTGAAGGTGCTGAGAGTCATGTTTTCCCTTTCCCTGTGCCCTTTCCAACTCCCCAGTGGCCTGCAGAAAGGAGAGTTAGAGAAGCAGCAAGGAAGTCAAGTGTGGGGTACTGTTGGGCTTCCTTCCATTCTCTCACAATCATCAAAATCACAGATGTTCCTGTGTTCATCGGGAGGATACAAAGGACCCCTTTTAAACCGGGACATCTGAACATGGCTCTGCATCTTACTTTATACATGAAGTCTGCAGGGATGCCAGCCAGGCCTGTTAGTATACGTGGGTGGGTAAAGATGGTGGCTGAGTATAATGGAGCCAGAGACCATCCTGAGTTTCTGTAGGTTGAAGGTATGCCAAGTTCTGCCAGAAAAACAAAGGCTCCCTGGGAGAGAGTCAGCCCACAGAGCCTTGGGGCCAGGACTGGGCACACTGGGTCCTAGGGATGGAGCCCAGGCACAGGAAGTTCTGTGGAAGTTCTGAGAGGTCACAGCTGCCTACTGGAGGTTGGCTGTCTTGTAGGAGGACATCCATCTACACTCAGGACTGGGTATATCTGAAGCTGCTTATTCATGGAGCCCAATGCTCCTCTCCCACACAATACTACGTCTGAATGTATAGGAGTAGACAGGCATTCATGGATGAACAGTGTTCTTTTTTAGGCGGGGGGGGGGGGGGGGATGGTCTGGTTGTGGGGCTTGAACTCTGGGCCTGGGTGCTGTCCCTCAGCTCTTCAGCTCAAGGCTAGCGCTCTACCACTTGAGCCACAGCGCCACTTCCAGCTATTTTTTTCTTTTTCTTTTTGCTTATGTGGTGCTGAGGAATCGAACCCAGGGCCTAATGCATACAAGGCAAGTGCTCTACCACTGAGTCAACTTCCCAGCCCACAGTGTTCTTTTTATTGGAAGAGGCAGTAAGTAAAGATAGGAGAAAGCAGGAGATGGTCTTGATCTCAAGTTGGTTATAAAATGTCCTATAGTGGCTTCTAAGTCCATGGATATAAATGAGTTTGCTCAAAAGCCATTGCATGCAGCTAGGCACCAGTGGCTCACACCTAGAATCCTAGTTACCCTTGAGGCTGAGAGCTGAGGATGACAGTTCAAAGCCAGTCCTGGCAGAAAAGTCCATGAGCGACTCAACTCCAATTGACCAGCAAAAAACCAGAAGAGGAAATGTGGTCCAAGTGACCGAGTTCTAATCTTGAGCAGAAACAAAAACAAAGAAGAGCACAAGGCCCTGAGTGCAAACCCCAGTAACAGCAAAAAAGTAATCATACAAATGTTTCGGTATCAATTTAAATGAACATCCAAGGTAAAAAGTAGGGGCAGATGTAAGAAGAATAAAGAAAGGTACCCCTTGTCTGGGTTTTGTAAAATGAATAGTTGTTACTATAGTTGGCTATTGTTTATCAAGTGCCATCTTTATACCAAGTACTTTATATATATCATCTCATCTAATCATAACCTTTTGATGTATATAACTACTGGCGCCATTCTATGAAAACAGGGCGATTGAATTTCCTATGAATCATAACCTCCTAATCATTAGGAAAGCCAGAATTTGTATCTCTATTTCTCTGGATCAAAAAAAAAAAATCAGAGAAAACAATTTATCTAGTACATTGTTGTTACCTATATAACAATACATATAGCTCGTTTTTTTTTTAAATGACAAAATATGCATCTCCCTAGCTTGGCTGTGCAAACGGCACATCAACATTGAATAAACCCTGAAGTCCTTTCCCGTGCCCTCTTTCTAGGGCTCCATGAAGCTCTGACCCTGTGCTTCGCTTTCCCAGAAACAAGCAGGTGGTGTAGGAGGCAGTGCCCTGAGCTGAGAACACAAACCCACCCAACCCTGAGGCTCCTGCCTAAGCAGACTTTGTTTCCATGGCCTTTAGCTAGGTCATTGTGGCGCTCTGTGCAAAGATAACCAATCCTTTGGGCTCAGTTTTTCTTCTCCAGTTATTTTATTTATTTGTTTGTTTGTTTCGGTTGTTGGGCCTGAACTCTGGGCCTGGGCTTTGTCCCTCAGCTCTTCAGCTCAAGGCTAGTGTTCTACCACTTGAGCCACAGCGCCCACTTCTGGTTTTTTCTGCTTAGGTGGTGCTGAGGAATCGAACCCAGGGCCTCATGCATGCAAGGCAAGCCCTCTACCACTGAGCCACCTTCCCAGCCTGTAGTTTTTTTTTTTTTTTTTTTTAACAGCTTTGTGGGAATCCATTCTCCCTGGGCCCTCCGCTCCACCACTCTGAGTTCAGTCTCTGACTTTGATTCCCCCTTTTCTTTAGAATAATTTCATTTTCAAGGACTCTATAGATAATTTTCCCTACTGCTGGACTAGGGGCAACCTCCAGTGGGGAGTGACTTTGATCCACAGGAGCCGCTCATCAGAGACCCCTCCCCCCAATTAAAAAACTCAAGAAAATGCAGAACCAAGATCAGAACTACCATTTTTAAGTTTTCTGTCCAGTATTCTTGACATTGAAACCATAGTGACCCTTAAACCATTCTAAGGAAGCCCAATAAGTACCTATGCTCTTTGTCCTATAAAATTTGACAAAAAGAAAAGAGCAGAAGGGCTGGGAAGTTGGTTCAGTGGTAGAGCACTTGCCTTGCATGCTTGAGGCCCTGGGTTCGATTCCTCAGCACTACATAAGCAGAAGAAGAAAAAAGCCGGAAATGGTGCTGTAGCTCAAGTGATAGAGCGCTAGCCTTGAGCTGAAGAGCTGAGGGACAGCGCTCAGGCCCAGAGTTCAGGCCTCCCAACCAGACGTGCCCCCCCCCCCCCCAAAAAAAGAGCAGAATTGGCAAGTAGAGAATGAAAGATACCCTTTGTTTCTGAATGAGGCTGAGTTAGCTATCTATCTGTCAGGAAATCTGCCAACCCTAGAACGGAATAAAGATTAAAAAAAGAAAAGAAAACCTTTCCCTTGGAGACAAAAGAAGAATAATCTATGCTGGGCACACCACATATCCCAGAGGAAGAAGCCAGACAACTAAATTGCAACTTTAACCAAAAAGAAACATCATGAAGGAAGTAAAAATGTGCCTATAATGTGTCATATTTATTTACTATCAATCTAAATTAGGCTTCATCCCACCTACTCTATTTACATACACCCAGGTAGCTGTGTCTCCTGTTGCTCTGTGAACAAAGGGAGAGGTAATTTTTCAATCCCTAAACTATGACAAGAGGTGAGGCAGAGTATGATGGCGTGTTTACCAAGCAATCCTGAAATCCCACCAGACATGCAGTGACTACTTCTGCTCTATATAAAGTTGACCTGGTGCACTCTGACATAAGAAAAGTGGCTCTGTGCTTACCAGTTTATTAACTAGTAAGAGATTGTGTTATTTCTAATAAAGACAATTGTAATTTTAATGAACTCAGTGTTCCCTGAAACTTCATCTGCTTGAAATATATGGATCTCAACTATGTTGCCATTCTAGCATTTTTCCATTGGATTAACAGGTCCTGCTGCCTGTTTGCTTTCTGCAGCCATTGTACAATTGATAGATGGATTCTCCCAACTGATTGGCAAAGCCTTTTATGAAGTAGGTGGAAGGCAGGAATGGTCCTCATCATTCCCCGTCTCCACCATCTTGATTCATCTACAGTGAAAAAGAAGGAGGGTGTGGGTGCGGAAATGTGTATGTGTGCCTGTGTGTTTCTGTGTTTCAAATTGCATTTTTTGGCTACATCTCCAATGAGATGATTAAAGAACTCTAGCTCTTTGCAACTAGCTCAGCCAAAAGTTTGACTATGCCTCACTTTCTCAATATGGTTCTCATTTGCTTTCAACCTCATTCATGTCTTATTTGTCTTTCAGAGAAAAAGGCAGTAACAAAAATCAACCTTGGGCTGCGTTAATTAAGGCCTGCATTCTTGCTGGTATATTTCGGGATGACAATCGGTAACATTTACCTCACTCTCTAGAAAGCTTATAATGTGGTTCTATTCATTCATCAGGGCTCCAAGTACAGCTCTGAGGCCCATCTCCGTTTGGGGGTCTTTAAGTTTTCATAAGATCTTGTAGACATTGTTTCACTTTAGAAAACTTTTGTTTCTCTCTGCAGAGATCCTGGAAGCAACAGCTAGGATAGCTCTATAGCTCTTCCTTTGGGAAGAAGACAAAAAATAAGGATTTTAGCTGACCTTTGTGATTTTTATAACTAAAAGAAAGAAAGAAGGATGGAAAAGCTAGATTGTTTTCCCACCCCTCACTCCCAAATACCAAGCATTCTGATTCTCCTTCCCTTGTTTACTTGGGACATTCTGACATTCTGACCCACAGAAGTTCAGTCCGTGTGTTCACCATAGACAAAATAAAAGCATTGAATTTCAGGGTATTTTTTTCCTCCAAAATGTGGGACTATATTTAGTCAGAAAGAGAAGGCCTATGTCTACCTTTTGGCTTCTTTTCCTCTTAACATTTATGCCTCTGAAAAAAAAGGGTGGTGTTGTTCGGAAGTCATTTTACTCTAGACCACATTGTCATTCCTACCGAAAAAACACCCAGGCTGAGATGTCAAAAAACAGATCTCTAAGGAAAGTTCCCCATCTGCTATTCAACTCCTCTGCTGAAGGTGCTAGTGAAAACCCTGGGGTGGTGGCTCACACCTGTAATCCCAGCTACCCAGAAGGCTGAGATCTGCGGACCACAGTCCAAAGCCAGCCTAGACAGGGAAGGTGCTATAGGGACAGGAAGATGATCTTTCTCTCCACACCAGAGGACTCCACCCAGGACAGGCAAAGACAGATGTGGAACAGAAAAGGGAGAAAGAGTGAGAATGGAGAGGAACTCTGCCCCTCATGGTGCTGAGGTGCTAGTGTATTGGTTTGGCTGGCTCTTGCTCCACATGACTTGTCCTCAACAATTTGTCCTCTAGCACAGTTGCCAGATGAAACTCAGTCCATGCAAAGAGCCCCGAAGAGGACCAAGCACCTGAGGACATGTGTGGGGCAGGTCTGTGGTCTGTCCCGTCCTGCCCATTTGGACTAGGTATTGGGATAATGATGATCAACGTGGCTTGAGTGACCAGAAACATCTAATTCCTATTAGCTGAGATGAAGAAACTCATCCTGAGGGTACTCCAAAAGGAAGGAACATGAAGATGGAACTGCCCATGAGACTGAGAAGCAGCAGCAAGTAAGATGAGAGATGAACTGACAGAAATAGGTCCTAAAGGCCAACTAGAGAAAGATTTCCCTACCAGGTAGTGAATCTGATTTCATGTGCTATTGACAGCTCAAGATGAGAATGGAGAATTCAATCCTGGATTTAGGGGCGGCTTCCACTTACATGAATAGAAACAACTTGATTGAATAGCTTTGGGAGGCAACGATTACAGACGCTTCTCATCTGAAAAGGGTCTTGGAAATAAAGTCAAGAACGATTTCAGCATCTGGAAGGTTAAGTGATCAGTTATCTGATCCTTTGCCTCCTTCTGGCACCATTGATTCTCAGTTTTCTAGAATAAAAGCTAATGTTGATGAAGCTCTGACTCAGTGCCAGTACTTTTTATTTTTAATGTATTTGGTCTTAATCTAGGGGTAGGGAAGCCTTTCTTTTTCTGCCATGGTCCATTCAGAAATTTATAACAGCATTCCTGGGCCATACAAAATCATCCATGCAGATGGATGGGCTGAGGGCAGCTGACAGGAAGCAGTCAGGTCGCTGACAGGAAGCAGGAAGTGTCTGGACGTTATTCACTTCTGCAAGATGATTGCTGCAGAGAGCTTCAGCAATGTGGCCAAGACAGCCCAGCTGGAAGAGCAGAAGGCTGAATTCGCACGGTTGTCCTTCACCCACACTCTCACCCACGCAGAACGCTGTGTCGGTTCTTGGGTTGTACTAGCCTGTGGGTCTTTCCCAGAAACTCTTTTCCTCCAGTGGCTGTTCTGCTGGGCACCACTCAGTTCCAGTCATGGCCACAGTGGGAAGCAGAGGAACTGGGAAGCTCACCGGAGCGCAGCTCTCTCTGTTCTCAACCCTTGCACAGATTTGCCTGCCATGAGCTTCTGTTTCTGATCTCTCTTGGTAAACCTTCCAGACCCCACCACTTCTGCCCGAGATAACTACACACTGGTGTGATGGTGGTGATGGAAGCTGAGGGGCCCCGGTGAGCTAAAGGCAACAACAGGTGTGGGAGAGAGAAACGGCCCCAGTGGATCCTCATATCTCTGACAAGGCTCAGTGTTGGAGCCAAGACTAGGCTCTGAGGCTGCTGCGGCTCCTGTCCTTCCTGTTGTACTCTTTTCAACAAACAGCATCTCCCAAGAGCCCACATTCTGTATGTCTGTGTCCCCGTCTTTCACATCCCTGGTACCTTACTGTACCAACCCAGCTGCCTTCAGTCAAAATCATAGACAACCAGACTCCATTGGATTTAAAAGAGATTGTATTACATTATAGATAGAGCCACAGGTCCCAAAGGACAACGTCCCCAGGACTAACTATATCTCCTTGGTGACACTGTCTGTCAAGGGCCTAAGGCTTCCTGACTCTGTTCTAGGCCATCCTCACATGTGGGCACATGCCAAGACAACTTTCCTCTCCAGCACTGGGTGTATCCAGGGGTGGCTTGTTATGAACCTGAGGTGCTCTCCCTTCCCCCACCAAAAAAAGGCTCATGTTTCAAGGCATGGGACTTTGGGAATGATGGGATCATGTTGTGCTAACTTCATCAATGGGTTAACCCGTTGGTAAGTGTGATGGCTCATCTTCCCTGCCAACTTGACTGAATCAAATGATGCCTAGGGATTAGTAAAGCATAATTCTTGGGTGTGTCTGTAATAGCGTTTCTAGACAATGTGGTCATAAGGGCTCTGGTCTAATGATGAATTCATAATATGATGGTACTGGGCTGGGAATGTGGCTTAGTGGTACAGTGCTCGCCTA